GAATAAAAATGGAAAGGCAAGAACATTCAGGAAGAACAGCGGAAGAAAGTAGAAATAGAGTTTTAGAAATATGGTGTAAAAGATGGAGTGAAAACAGAAATGGCAAAGGTAAATGGACTAGAACGCTTATAAAGGGCCCAAAGTGTTGGATAAATAGAGAATATGGAGAACTCAGCTATGCCATGAGTCAATTTCTTTCTGGTCACGGTTGTTTCAGGTTTTACCTACATAAATAAAGTTAACTGATAGCCCGAGATGTCTCTATGGCGACTCCGATGCTGGTGGGTGGAGCATACCCTTTTGGAATGTAACCGATATACAGCTGAACGAAGAGTTCTATACAAAAAGCTAAGAGTCCATAAAATTAAGATTTCCGATCTAGTTCCAGAGATGATTCGATCCCCAGAAAATTGGAATAGTGTTCACACTTTTATGGAGACACTAATAGATATAAAAGAGAAAGAAGCTAGACGAAGTAAATGAAACATCGCAGTAAAACCGCCTCCTCGAGAAGAATGCCGAAAGGTAGTTCCTTGGGGAGATATTCAAAGCGGCTTGTGGAGGTTTTTTTAATCACTCTAATAATTTTCCTATTTCTCAGAAAATCACAGTAAAAATTGTCAATTTTGATGTCAAACATGAACATCAAAACAAAATAACTTTCATATTATATTTAAAAGCAAAACCAAATAGAATCAAAACTACTGATTAAAAACTGTGCTAAAATCCCAGATTAAATAATGAGTGATAAAGTTAATGGTAAGAAAGTCATACTTAGTTCAAACTAATACCTACCATTAGTTACAAGATTTACTTATCATAAGGAAAGATGTGGAGAGATTATAGTTGATACGCAAACTATTTTAACAAAATGGTTTGAATTTGATGGCACAGAAAAATTCAAACCATTTTAAGTTAAACTTTTTTTACAAAAGGGTGCGTCCGAATATTACAAAGAGTTGACGTAGACGATGGTTAGGGGAGGAGACCGTGACAGGTTTGAGGGATTGAAATTAACCGCCGAAAATAGCTTCTGATTAACGACGGTGCTTTTGGCCTGTTGCCTCGAGACGCTGTAGAGGAGGCTTCGTAATTTGTTCACTCTTCCGACAAATCCAATTTGGAGGCTTTAATATTTTGCTGCTTCTTGTCAAAATAGATGAATTAATGGACGGGTTTTGCATTTATCTTCTTGCCTGTTATTGTTAAAACACTGGTGGATTTATGTTGTAATGAATTGGCGTTTGTTAAGCAGTTTTGGGAAAATTAATATCTATACCTATGTGGCGGACTCATCTCTCCAAAAAAATCCTTTATGGGTATTTCGCCACTGCATTGTAAGAAAAATCTACAAAATAAAATAGTTATTTTTTGTAAACACTTCTGCGTTAAACCTAAATGGACACTACTTGTCAGAAGTTATGTTTACAGTAATACAAATTTGCATAACAAAGAAAAAAATGCTTAACGTTTCGGAAAGTTTATCTCTTTCCGTCATCGGAAGCAAAAAAAATACAAAGAATAAAGAAAAAAAACTATTTAAAATATTTAAATTCGACTATTCGAGAACACTTTACTTTTTTAAAACAGATACGTCTACAAGAAACCGTTGACGTTCTGTTAAAATGACATTATATTAAGTTAAACTTCAAAATTAACAATTACTACCTGATAACAATAACTTAATAAGGTAAAACCAAAAAGCCCAAATTTTCTGTATGATTATTTTTAAAGTTTACGTATGTTATGTTTATTTATGTTATGTTCTTTACAATCTAATAAAAATAAATGTATTGTTCATGCATCTGTAGATGTTAATAATGTATGGCAATCGCTTCTTTGATTTTAAAGAACATAACATAAACATAACATAAGTAAAATTACACATAGAGGATTTTTTTGGAAAAAATAAATATGTTAACAAGATAATGTAGAGGATACATAAACTACAAAATATTTCCTTTTTTAATTATTTAGAGCACACCGGGGCAAAATGGGATTTCTAACGTAAATGTTTATTTTTGAGAGTGTAAAATAGTAGTACAACTTCTAAATAGATGAATAACCATTTATTAAATTATTGTGAACATTATAAAAACAAGAAATAAATACAGGGTGGTCCGAACTGTATTCCGAAAACTTCGGCAGCATATTCTGAAGATAAAAATAAGTAAAAAAGTTCGTATAAATGTATGTCCTAAAATGGCTTAGTTTCGGAGATACAGGATGTAGAAGTTTCATTTTTATTTCGATTTTTTTGAATAATTTATGAAGTAACATAAATATTTGGATGAAAATTGGTGTCTGGGAGTTTTTTGACGTGATAAATTTGATTTTGATGTCAATATGACTCCTATTTGTAGGGGGACGAAAGTAGTTTATCCACTACCAAGCTCCACAGTAGGGGGAGTACATTATATGCTTACGTCACTATTTTTGCCGGGATTAATTCGAATACCAGCACCGGGAGGCTAGACACAGCGAAAATTATAACCGAAATACAATAAAACCGTCGCTACGTTTAAATTTATTTCACATCCATTTACACCAATAACTTATTTTATATCCACTAATCTTCATAAAACATAACAATAATGACGCCATTTGTCGAATAAAAATTAGGTATTACGATCTGTTAGACATAAATGGAGAATTGTATTTCGATATTACATTTTACTACTAATATTATAGCACTCTAATAACTTAACGTCGCTCTTATCTTGCTGAATTTTATATTATTATCCAATAACGTGAAAGTAATTAGAGATAATGTGTTTTGAATCACCGCCATTACAAATTTCCGTTAATCTTATTGCAGCTTTATCTAATAGCTTATACACGTTTAAATTGATGTGGCGTATAGGTTTATATCGATATTGCAGTATTATTTTACCGCATTATTACTTTTATTAGATATTATTACTATAATAGCTTAAGAGCAATTAATATAAACATTATAATGAAAATAGGCTTATGGTAATATGAGGAAATATTTTATTAGATTTTCCTACTACGCCTTCACTCTAAAATTATTTCATAGAATTCGTATTTGAATTCTAATTATAGTGTAGTAATAAAACGCAAGGTGGGTAATTTATTATTTTTATAAGGTACTATAAAGAGTAGTAATAAAGTATGTTATAGACCAACTGAATAATTAAGAATAGTTCCATATAACACAGATTGTGCACTATGTGCGCATATTTGAAGTAAAACTTGTTACTAAAAACTATTAAATTGAAGGATTTAAAGAATATATATTTTTTTATGAATGCTTTTTATAAACTTCAAAAAAATTACAGTTAATATAAAACCGTATACTATTCTAGCTTTATAATAATTTTATAATATTTTTTAATTTTTATTAACAAACGATAACTCTGTCACCCGGCCGGATAGCTCTGGCAGCTGTGACCATTAAACTAAAACACTACTACATATATATCTCTGACAAAAAACTAACTGCTACTAACCAACAATTTGTTTTGTGTGACCTGTTTTTGTTTAACTATTTTGTTCATTATTCATGTTGGGGATTTATTTTTTAATTAATGTTAATCGTTAGGCAACTAGTAAACTCATAGAGTATGTATTTCTTTTGCATAATCAAAATTGTCACTCTAAATTGTACATAACCAAATTGTCACTCTAAATCGGTGTCTTTTTTAAACAGATGTCACTTGTCTTGTCATTATTCAATTCATTATTCGAATTCTCAGAATGTTGTTAACAAAAGATTCATCTTAAAATAAAATTTTAATCAATCACAATTGTTTATCTCCATCATTTACCGGATTAATAATACAGAAATTACAGTTCAATTACGAACAATTCATTAATTGTACTGATTTACAGTAATTTTATTAAATTATACGAATATTCTCGTTGATTATTGGTTCGAAATAAGTATGACAGTGTCCTCCAATGAAAATACGAGTTACTAACTCTAAATTCATTCTGATTATGAGCTGGAAAATGAGCTAGATTCTTTACCTAGACCGTTATTCACCCTATCGATAAAAATATGCATGAAAATTTACTTCCTAGCTTTACCAAATCAAAACACAACCAGACTATTGGTACACATCAAGGTTGATACAGTATCAAGTACCTATATTATAGTGATATTCTCAGTCGCGTATGGCACAAATCAATTACTCAGTGTTGCCACAAGCTTATTTTTCATCGGAGTAGACGAGATAACGAGGTTAAATTGTTTTACAAAGGGGTAGATCTACCCCGAATGGTGTAGTAGTGGCAACACTGCCGCTATCAATTTTCCTCTCGCTCCATTCACGTGAAACACGACCTTGAATTTTTTAATCCTAACGCGCGTAAAGAAGTTTGACTTCAAAAATATGTGGTGTTAGGTGATACACTGTAGTCACTTAAACCTGTTCCTTTGCTGCGAATAACTTTTACTTATATGTTGTCTAATCATCCCATAAGCTTTTAGTAAATATTACACTGAGGAACTACCTCCACGACACACCGGATGTTAAATTTAATTTTTAAGGTACAACAGTACCTTAGAATATTATGTTGGAAACTCAATTCAGAATAGTGATATATATGGCTTCTATATTGACTGAATTTATCATATGCTAAGTAGTATCCACTCTATCCAGTAAAGAGGACTGATAAGTACTTTAAGTCATAACGAAGTGGCGTGTTTTCACACAGTAAGAAGTATATATTCTAACACTTTTTCCAAATACAACATTTTTCTTTTAGTTGCATTTTAGTAATTATTATTAACTAAAGGTTGGGAATCTTTGGTGGACTCATTGTCCAGTTACTTTAGGGACGCATTATTGCTTTCATATACTTTAGAAGATTTTGCAGGTCTTGCAATCATATAAAACATGATTTTCTATTCTCAAAAGAGTCGACTCCAATGAACTATTGCCTTACATTTTTATACTTATAGAGTTTACACAAATATGTGTTTTAGTTCATCTTGAGATGAAACTATACCTTAATACTTTATTCTATTTCAGAAGACAAACAGCCGAGGAACGCGAAGCCGAAAGACAAGCAGCGAACAGACTGATGCTCTCCTTGCAAGCGGAGGCTTTGAGCAAAGGCTACATGAGCGAGGGCCCCCCTGCTCAGGGCGCCCCCACGGACACAGCCCTTAGCGCCCTACAAAATCTGCAGCCGTGGGCGGGACCGTACAACGCACCGCAGCCGGCCTTGGCAGAATCGATGTGTTGAGTCAAACAACGTCAAAGTGAACAATGTGATTGCATGTTGGTGATTACATATAATATAATATGTCGATATATTAAATGATCGATACTTATCATTTCAAATGTTAAGTTTAAAAATATCTGCTCTTTCCAATATGACTCATATTTGTCAGAATATACTGTCGCGTTGGGAATATTGCCTAGGGTCGCATAGGTTCCAGGTGATCTTTTTTAGATTAAAACCATAATAAAAGAAGGTCTATTTATTGAACAAATAATACAAAATATACGAATTTGGGAAATTGAAAGACAAAGTGTATGCTGAATTACTTACAGTTTTGCCGACATCTCTTGATGTTTAACTTTGACTTTGCGCGATCAACTACAAACTCCTTAACTCCATTAACCATCCGCAAAGTCTTCAAAATAGTCTTTTTTATTCGTCTTCTCGTGGTAGTCATCGGTAGGTGCATTATCAAACTGTTTACAGTATATTTCCACCGCCGATACCTGCGACGAACTTCGCCTTGAATTTGTCACGTTGCGTTACGAATTTTACTTGTTTAATTAATGTTTGTTATAAGAAACATTAAGTCACATAAAAAGTCTAAGTGGACGTTACGCAAATGACTCTTGAGCTTACATCGAATTGGCTTACTGAAACATAATTTTTTCAAATATTAATTTGATATACACCCAAGTGGACCTAGATTTAAAGTACTGACAATACGTAAATCATATACAATCAAGTTATGAAGATTTTGTATTTCAAGTTCAACAATGGATATGTCATAATGTATGTCAACATGGAATTATTTTGTCATTAATAGTCTAAACAATTAAGGAGATTTACGATTATTAAATGATGATTTAAACCAACGTTCATTCCTAATTAATGTCATAACAAGAAAATGTCAAATATATCCTGATAAGGAGGAAACATATGACAGTAAGAGTTTTTGTTAAGGCCGTTTTATATGCTGCAAGACTTCCTGCAAGACGGTTCAACTTGCAACAAATCTTTTACAAAAGCATGCGCAGTTGTGGACCAGCTGATTAATATCTCTGCAATTTATCTGTTCTGCTCGATATTTCTGCAATTGCAAGTGCAACTCTGGTGGAACAATCCGGTAATTTTAGTTTTTGCAAAGTAATAAAATAATAAAATAAATAAATAACAAATTGCAAATAAATAAAATAAATAAATTTGCAAGGTAAATAAATGTCACAAGTTTACTTACATTTTTGTTTGTATGGGGATCTCGTTTTAGTTTATCTAAAAATGAACAGTATTAATTTGAAAAAAAAAATTATATTAACAATAAAACTTTATAGCTATTGGATTTACTCCCGCATGACGTTTAAAGAGTATTGTTATTAATGATAGATTTGTTTGTTTGTTGAATTTGACAGAAACAACGATCGCAATAGAGTTGCAGCAAGTAAAGTAACCTGCAAGAATAATTACACAAGATGGTTTTGCGACTAACAATCTCTTGCTGTAGAGGTCTTGCAGCATGTAAAACTGTCTCAAATCAATTTAATTCAAAAGTAAATTGTTTTTTTGTGTAATTATTTGTCATTGTTTATCATCATTATCGTCATTGAGTTCTGTAGACATCGTCTGCCGAAATAATTCCTCTTTTGCTGGACAGACTTACTGACACTCTATTATGAAATAATATATTAAGCATTTTTGGAAATCATGGAATAGTGACTAATTGGATCAAACCTTTCCATATTCAGAGTTTCCAATCTTTACAACAACAAACTACAAGTCCACAATCAGTTTCCTAATGTCTGACCATCATTCTGAGGTCAGACATTAAGAAAAACATATAAAATCAACCATAGGTAGCAATATTAGCTCCAATAAACGCCATATTATAGAAAGCAATAATTTTGTTGATATTTTTAATTTTAAAACGAGTTTAATTGTCTTTTTCAATATAATATTCATAAGAACTAATAGTGCAACTATTGGTTAATGTGATATGTCATCTAACCTGTGAAAAGGAACTATTTTCTTTCCTTAAATCTAGTCGCTATTTTATTATGTAATTTTTAAAAGTGTTTAATAGATTTTATTGGACTATAAGTTCCTGGTTTATTATTACCGCTCTGGGATATAATTTTGAACTTAAAAATATATTTATTTATTGATCAATAGTCTCATAGAAAAGACAATCTCAGTTCAAGAAGATATTTGTTATAATAAAAGGTTAAGTTAAAACATTATGTTGGATATGTCGTAGGCATAATGCAAATTTAGGCAAATAGTCATTTGCCTAGCCATTTGCTAAGTGTCATAACAAATAGCAAAATGACTTTAAAAATCCATATTTTACTAAATGAGTAGATATTTCCTAGATATGCCTATTTCCATATTAGTCATTTTTGGCATATGCCCAATTATATTTAGGCAGATAAATTTATTGACTAAATCATAATAATTAAAATTTACATAATTTAAATTAAAAATAATATTATTTGCTTAGTATCGATCATTTAGAAGTATCGACATTATGAGAATATCGAGTGAAACTATCTCTCGATATAATAAACAATCCTATTCGATTTGCAAATCGATTTTGTTAGTGTACAGTGAAGAAAAATAAAATGTTTTTGTTGGCTTTAACCACATTCCTTACCGCATATTGAAAGAACCGAACAGTTATTAGTCGATGTAGAGCGCAAAATGGTGGACTTGCATCAATTTCTACAAAAAAAATGTTGCGAAAAATTCCGGTTTTTGTACGATTGTGCAATATATATGAAAGAAACGTTGAAAAATCAGCATAAAGACTTTTAAATGTGTCTTTTTGAAAATACCTACAGATGTATTATTACTATTATTAACGTTTATTATTTGATATAGTATTTGTATAGTCGTCAGATAGTATACTACACGTTTTACAAAATAAAGTATAAATTTTTATTTGATTTTATAAAAATTTAGTATGTAATAGAAAATGGAAATATAATTTAGTTAATATTTTTTTTGTTTAAAAATTTTAATCATGAATATAACTTAGAAAGAAATACGGTTTGGAAGATCTCAAATCATATTCAGAGCTGCAACAAGTCAGTTTCAAAAAGACTTAAATATTAAGTCTTAAATAAATAAAATCGTTAGTCAATGATTTTAACATAAAATTTAAATTATTTAAATCTCAAGTCTTTGACTTAAATAATTTTCTTTCAGGTCAAGTCATTTTCGTAAAGACTTAAGTCTATATTTTTGATTTGTGGTCATGATGATCTGCGATTTAAGTCGGCAAAATAACTTAAATAAAAATAATTACCGTCAAGTCTTCAATATATTCGAGAATTATTTCTTTCGTTCATCTTTCGGGCTACATAACGAAGTGGGGGATTCACTTGATTCACTTGAAAGACAACAGCAAAGAAACTTTTGATTTGCTAGTGGTATTGATTCTAAAAAGATCTTTTTAATGACTTAAGTCTTTTCAAAAAAGAATTAAATCTTTTAAAAGATTTAAGCCTTTTTTAATGACTGAATTATTTTTCTATTTGGGAAGAAAGATTTAAGTCAAAATCATTTTGAAAATTACTTAAATTTTAAGTCTAGAGTCAGCTTTCGAAAAGTAACTTAAAATCAAATAACATAAGTCATTAAAAAGAAGAAAATTAACTTTAAATTATTAAATTAATTCTATTAATTTATCAAATTACACAATTTATATGATATAAAATCATATCTCCAGATTTATCCTGTATAGTTAAACAAAAATAAATCAAGTACCTAACTTGATATTGACATAAATACTTATACTTATGATTAAGTATAAGTTATTATAAGTTTTTAGTTTTCTCCTAACGGGTGCATTTCTATTAATGCTCATTATTAGTGGTCTTTTAACAAAAAAAAAGAAAAAATAAATTTGTACATTCTTGGCATGTCATCTACTGGGAGATGGAGTAGTGAAATTTTCCTTAACATACTAACACGACAAGTTAAATAAAAGCTAGTAAAGAGCAACATTTTTTAAAACTAATAATTTTGATTAACACAGTATGTAAAAAACGAGTATTTGAAATATTCCTAATATATAGTATATTTTGTCTAAATGCCATTATACAGAGTGTCCCAGAAATAAGTGCAAGTATTGTAAAAGCTGCATTTAAACAAAAAAATGCTTTTTTGCTTAAATTTTGAGAACCACTGGATCTTTTCTGGATTTTCTTTCATGTAAATTTAATCAACTACCTGTGTGGCCATATTATCAAGAAATTATGTTTTTTAACTTAAAACTAAAAAAAATTCCAAATTTTCAAAACATTTTTTTGCAAAAAAAAACCTCATAGGCGTGTTTCTGAGGCTGAAATATACTACTAGTTAAAATACCTGCACTATTTCTGGGACACCCTGTATATTGGCGCTCTATATTGTACAGGGTGCGGAGGTCCGAACTGTATTCCGGAAACTTCGGCAGGATATTCTGCAGATAAAAATCAGTAAAAAAGTTGGTATAAATGTATGTCCTAAAATGCTTAGTTTCGAAAATACAGTGTGTAGAAGTTTCATTTTTATTTCCATTTTTTCCAAATAATTTCTGAAGTAACGTCAATATATGGATGAAAATTGATGTCTGGAAGTTTTTTGACATGAGAAATTTAATTTCGATATCGATATGACTTCTACTTGTAGAGGGCGCCACCTACATATTTTTAACTGGTTTGAGGAGTAATAACTTTTCGTCCGTACCTGTATAAAACTACAGAGTAAAAAATATACATTTCGACATTTTCTACGTAAAAAGGGTCTCTTGGTAAAAATTGCTGCGAGTAATGGTTCTCGAGATATTTGGAATCGAATTTATCAATACCTATCATCATTTACATAAATTAAACTTGTTGACTAAATATTTATTAGACTAAAATAATAAATTTAAAATGTTTTTGTACCAAAAATTAAATATAAACTATTTTATCATCACTTTTTCGCAGAAAAATTTATGATTAATTTAAAAAAATAAAAATTTTTCACCATTTATTATTTCAGTCAAAAAACTATCTAATCAACGGATTTATTTTTTGTCAATAATAGCTTAGGTATTGGTTATTTCCATTCTAAATATTTTAAGAACGGCTGCTCATAGCAATTTTTATCAAGACACCTTTTTGCGTAAAAATCGTCGTAAATGTATATTTTTTTACCCAGTACTTTTATACCGTTACGGACGAAAAGTTAGTAATCTTCAAAACAGTTAAAATACATGTAGGTAGCGCCCCCTAAAAATAGGAGATATAATGACATCAAAATCAAATTTCTCATGTCAAAAAACTACCCGACACTAATTTTCATCCAAATATTGACGTTACTTCAGAAATTATTTGGAAAAAATCGAAATAAAAATAAAATTTATACACCCTGTATATCCAAAACTAAACATTTTAGGACATCCATTTTTAACAACTTTTTTACTTATTTTTATCTGCAGAATATGCTGCTGAAGTTTCCTGAATACTGTTCGGACCACCCTGTATATCTCATACCGTCAAATAAACCTAATAACAAACTCTCTATTTCTTTGAAGCCTCCAACCTCGAACTCTAAAGTATTTAATGTACTTTAAACAAACTGAATAAAATATAAGACAAGTTTCTATAATTGTACAGGGTGGGTCAAATTCGAAGCTTTTAAATGGAAACACCCTTTTCTATAGGAGATAGACGAAAACTAATATCGGTGTCTGGAGCTCAATTTTTGTCAAAAACATGATAGTGAAAACCGCATATCGATATCTGTTACCGTTTCGGAGTTACGGGGTGTTTTTCAAAAATATGAACTTTTAACAAATCGCTGTAACTTTTTTG